GCAGGCGTAGCAGTTTTCGGTGCATCTCGTCGATTTGGTAGCATACTTCTTTGGGTCAGACCGGAAACATGCCATTACACAGTAGGACAGAACTCTTTCTTTTGACTGTTAGCATAGGTTTCACTGATTCCAACGTTGCGCTTATTTCTTTGTGAAAGGCCATTTGTTTCAGTATAGCACTTAAAATAAGACCGAGCTTCACATATTCAACCACCTTGTTTAGCGCTCAACTCACGGCGGGGGAGTGGGTGGGGCGATCGATCGTTATGGGTGAGATAAATGGGCCTAACCTGTTTTGAATTGATAATCTTTTCTACTTTGAAAAAAACTCCGTATCAAAATGATTTATTCAAATAGTACGGAACTTTCTTTACACATTCATATGCTTCTATTCTTCCAACGACTTATACGCGTGGGAAAAATGAAGGGGCGCCTGAGGAGTTGAAGATAATTTTAGTGAGTTTTACAGCGTTATGAAATGGTGTCTTGAAAGAGCGGCTCCGTGAAACTGTAACCAGAGATCTAAACTTTCAAATGATTGCTAACACTCGTATGAAAAATTTTTGTCTAGCGAAAAGGATCAACATTTCACTTGTGGCCATCTAACATATAGGTACCCTTTTCTCATTCCAAACAAGTTTGGACCCAATTTTTCACATATAATGTGTGAGGGTTTTGATGAAGCCCACGGCGAACTGGATGACCAGTGACGGTGTGTATTGCGGGATTATCTTTCTCTGAGCACTGCGTTCTACTCATCTCATTTTGAGTCTGGTTTGGAAATTCATGAATTATATTTCTACTGGTATACACGAAAGTTGAGAACTTACAGTCTTTTTTTTTTGAAGATTTTTCGTGTTGAAGTTCACGGATAAGTGCGCACGATGTGGGAGTGACGGAATTTTTTTTCATCCTTCTAACAAAAAATACTTTTTTTATTGAATGATTTCTCGAAACTTTTTTCCCACGATCGTTTCGCCACCTGGTAAAGTTCAAAAGGTGCTTTTCTGTATATTATTGAAGGCCGCATATAGCTTCTCGTTCACGGATCTCTCCATCTGAGAGGTGAATGAACAGTGTTGTACACGATACTACAAGAGCAATCGAGTGTACAACACCGCCTGTTCAGTGATATTTTCAATCGATGGCATGTGAAAATAGTACGTCTGCGCTTCTCTATGTAGCTTTTTGGGTTCCCTCGAAAAAATTGAGTAAAGACAAAGAGCTTGCCCCACTGACAAGGCTGCCAAGGCCGAAACACGTGTATTGGGCTGAGAAGTGCCCTTATTAGACCACATGCATAGCTCAAAAAATAATCAACGGACATGGCGAATGAGTTTGCTGTTCCACCGGTTCTCCCTTCCGAAAGCAGACTTTCTATTCCGTCGGCAAAGCATAATACCGCCTCCAAGCAGGATCAAATTAGAATACTTGAAGAACCTCTTGCTAGTTTGTTTGCACACTGGCCCGGTTCTTCGCTAGCTACCTAAACACAAGGTTCTTATTCAAAAGAGGATCAAGAAGACCGTGTAAATGTTCAGAAAAGGAATTCATCACGACATAGGTAATTATCGCTCAGTCTGTTTATTGTCCGTCGTCTAGAATCTCCTTTCTCGAGTTATTCCAAACACGATTGAAAGAACACTGACTGAATGGTAGCTATACGAAGAGGCCGGGTTTCGAAAAGATTCTAGTGTCACAGGCCACGTCCACAGCATCACAAGACTCATTGAACTTTCACGGGAGTTTAAGAGACAACTTTGTCTCACTCCCATCGATTTATGGAAATCTTTGACTCAGTGGAAAAAGAGACAGTCATAGACGGTCTGAATAGCCAGGTCGTCCCTACTCAATACACACCAATACTTCGTGAGCTATATATAGGCTTAAAAGCCAAAATGTCGTCGTTTATCAACGATATCTCCATCGAGTTAAGAAGAGGGGTTCGACAAGACGAAACGATCGCGGCGAATCATTCTTGCCAACCTCTTAAACGTCATAAAGGATAAGGATAAAGCTCTCGGCGTTGATCAATCCCTGAGGGATGCGCCATGCATTCGACTTCAATTTTTAACTTCGTTTGAGGTGATTGAATGCACATCTGGCCTTTACAATGACTCGCGTTGGCCTCCCGCTGAACCGAGTCAGTGCTGCTTATCCTCCCAGACAAGTCTGAGACCTGTCTGGTACCAATTTACCGACCCCGGAGGGATGGATGGCTTGGTGAGCCATGAGCGCGAGATCGAACCAGTGACCTCGTGTGCGACGCAGTGCACCTCTAACCACTGCGCCACATGCGCTCTCCTTAAACGTCATACCAACTTCAAAATGGGACAATATGAGCGTGCGATTCGATGATCGACAATTACACCATCATCTCTTCTCTGGTACTATCGTCCTGAGAACACCGCGCATCAGGTAGGGAAGCGAATGTTGACCGATTGCGACCACGCTCCACATTTGAGCAGGAGAAACCGAGTAATTTGTGAAGTGTTCAAGAGCATCGAGGGTGTAGTGAAGAGATCGAAGAACGTTCGACTCCATTTCTTGCTATTCGACCCGAGAGCTGTCCCTGCCTTTGAGTATGCATCAGAAATGTAAGTCCTTTCCGGCTATAAGAGGACAAATGAATTTCCGAGCTCATTCGTTGGACAAGCCATTGTGTATGGAAGTACTAGTAATCATTTGAGTGCTTCAGTCTTTGGGTAGAGCTGTACGTGACCGGTTTTCGAAAAGACCCTTATAACGCCCTAAAATCCAAAATAAAATTGTGTCTCACATTTTCTCTTTGGACAGAGCTCTTTCTTTGGACTGCTAGTAATCATTCGATAGTGTAATGCTTGCTAAGTCCAACGCTATGCTTATATCCTGGATAGACGTTTCTTTGCAACGCAACATAGAAAATCAGATTGGTTCACATGCGCGAGCAAGGTGGCCTTGGAAAGTTCACGGGCTGCTTGATGAGGCGATATGTGGGTTGAAGTGGTGATCGTTCGATTTCGACCAGTATTATGAAAGTGCGATCTCTGTTATCTAATCAGGATTTGTATCTCCGCTTTGAAAGAAACACTCCAGATAGAACATATGACGCTTCTATAATAAGATTTCGATTATTTTTATTTTGCCATGAATACGGATATATCAATCATCGTTATCATCACATCGGTGGAATTCACGAGGCTAGAACGTGTTAATCGCTTCCAAGAGTGACTAATGAACATTCAATTACTACGAAGTTTTCCCTACACGTTCATATGCTCGAACATCAATAAATCGTCGCGCCAGGCGACCTTGCTGCCTCACCCAACGGTCCGTGAGTTGGCCAAACTCGTGCATGTGAATCAGTCTAATTTTCCCTCCTGCGTTGCAGAGAAATGGTCTTTTTAGGATATAAGTACAACGTTGAAATCAGTAAGCAATACGCTAGCGAATAATCACTAATAGTCCAAAGAAAGAGCTCTGTCTGGCGAGAAAGATGCGCGTGTGAAGCTTAAGAGATTTCCTTTTATAACAACATCAAAAAGGGGTTTTTGAAAACCGGCCAAGTAGGGCTGTAGCTCGTGATTTAGGCTTTCGAATGATTATTAACACTATGATGAATAATTCCTGTTCAACAAATGAGGTCAGATAATTGTTTGTTCCCTTGTACCGAAAACAAATGAGATGCGTTGTTGATTGGATTTTTTGGGATGTCAAACACTACGTAGGAAGACCATCAACTCGATGGTGCGATCTTTTTCATGGAAGACCTGTAAGATATACATGATGTTCAGTGAATTCTTGAAGTGAGCAGGATCCACTGAGCTACTCCGCGAGCTGAAAAGAAGAATGGAAATGTATCTCATAATTATTATTCGAACCAACATGTCACATGGTCTACTGAAAGTAGGTGATGACGAACGATTTACACGTGCCGCAATTGAATTAAATCACTAGATCGGCAGTGTTATACACTCGATTGCCTGTGGCTGGTGTTTTTGAAATATTATAGCGTTTCTTTCGAGTTTTTTTTCCAAGAACACGCTCTGTTTTGGTGGTTCAGCTTTTTATTGTAATCTGCCACGTGAACTTTGTTTCCTCAAGCCTGAGTAATCAAACCTTTATATAAATAACAACATTATCAAATCGACTACAACTTTCAAAGCATTTATAAATGGTGTTGGAAGTCAAGGAAACTATAATACAGCAAACATAGATCTTATAAAGGCACCAAAAAGTGTGTTAGGATGAGCAGAGACTACTTGAAATGAACTTAGAGTGTGCTCGCATTGAGTGGTGGTAAAGGTAGAGCTCACTCAGTTTACACGGATGATGCCCGAGCCCGACCTATCGACTGACGGCGGTGATATGTAATCAGTATGTCCTTACATCCTACCAGAGTCAAAGTGAACACTAAAGTAAATAAAGAAATTAATCGACAGAAGAGAGTTGTGTAAAACGCGTCGATCAGAAAGTAATTGGTGAAGGCCCGTTGACAATTTGCTTGTGGGCAAACGTGCTTCCATGATCCTAAATAGGTAACCTAATAATAAGGACTGAGTAAAGAAGATGCAGTGCATTGAAGGGTCTGCTCCTCAGCAAGGATCAATGAACATGGTGATCAAGGAGACACTGTTATTAAGAGCGTTCTAATTGCTAAGTGAATACAATTGAATTATATTATAAACTAAGGTAAACCGATAGACAACGAAGATGACTGCGGTGAACATGATGTGACAAGGGACGATGTAAGGACCTCTCTCTGTCAACGCGCGAAGCTCGAATAACGGTCGACCAGTGGTCGCCTGTGTCGACTGGGCTTCTTTTCCTGCCATATCAATTATTGGACGTGGGTCGACTGTGCGGACGTGTCTCTCCGTTTTTCACTAGCACTTTAATCAGCGGTCGAAATCATTGGAGATTTGTCGACTGTGTCGACACGCTCAGATTTCAATAAACTCATAATTTAATATATTTTAGAATAACGCGTTGTAGCGTAGAAGGAGTGGTGTGCAAAACAGGTGTTTGTAGTGCAGCGGTTCAGCACGTACTCCCGAAAAGAGTGAGATCTGGGTTTGAATTCCAGCCGACGCAGACATCTTTGCACACCACTCTACATTATTGGGTATATTGTAACATCATGCCATCGCAAGTGGCGATCAAATAAAATGATTTGTGATTGATTATCTCATTATTATTATTCGAGCTAATATGTCATGTGGTCTGTTTTGAACTCTTGTACAGCTCGATACACGTGTTTCGGCCTCGACAGCCTCAGCTGGGCAGCTCCTTCATCTTTAGCCAATTCTCTTGGGGTGCTCCAGTCTCCCTACTTGAAGTAGGCTACAACAAACGATTTACACGTGACGTCAAGTGGAATATGTCACTAATTCGGCAGTGTTGTACACTCGACCTCTCTTAGGTGGTATTTTTGAAAATATATCGTTTCTTTCAAGTATTTTCCTGAAGCACGCTCAGATTTTAACATATCTGATAAATATTATTTGAGCCAGTATGTCATGTAGTCTGTTATAGGCTCAAATAATGAATATGAGATATATTGAAATTTGAGTGTGGTTCTGAGAAAACAGTCGAAACAAACGGCATGATATTTCGCCAATAGCAGCCACGAGCAATCGAGTGTACAATACTGCCGATCTAGTGATTTTACTTGACGGCATGTATAAATCGTCTGTCGTCGTCTACTCTAAGTAAGGTGAATGGAGTATTCCGAGAGGATTGGTTAAAGACAAAGGGCCTGCCCGATTGACAAGGCTGTCAAGGCCGAAACACGTGTATTGGGCTGTACAAGAGCCCATGACAGCTCACATGACATGTTGGCTCAAATAATAATTATGAGATATATTGAAATTTGAGCATAGTCTCATAAAATTAGAAATATTTCTGGCGCCCGTTAAAGTAACTCAACGGTGAAGGGAACAGTTGATGGCTTTTCTCGACCAACAAATGGTATCACTTCTCTGGTGGATAAGTCATTTCTTGAGTATAAATGCTATAAGAAAAGGCTCTGTTTTACAATATATTTATCGAGAAGGGAGACGAGACGTATATGATTTTGTTCACAATCGTCTCTTATCTTATCATTTTCACAACTTTTCATTTTATGATATCTAGGAGGAACTCTATGAGTGGAACGCAAATATTATAGCAAAACGTGTAACATATTGGAATCCGATTGGAGAGGGAATGAACAGGTGAATGATTTTTTAACAGCCGTACGCCATACAACTAACAATCAGTCACTTCGAAAACGCATCATCAAGGGATCATTATACTAGATGTCGAGTGATACATCGTTGGATCGACTTCCTATAATAGTAGAGGTGAGCCGAATGGCACGTGCTGGTGATGAGATTTCGAAAATGACGGAACGTACTTCTGGCACTGGCGGTACTATACCACATTTTATAGAGGTTGAAAACATTCTGCTACATTGAGTCAAAAATGTATTGTCATTAATGCAAGATTCAACTAATGGATAATATGTCCTTTGCACATCAAATTTGTAGTCTATAATATTGTGTAAGATCTAGAGTGGCATCAAAGTACCCCCTCGACCTTGCCGTTTATTTTAAAATTCTAAAATTCTTCCGTAGTGCCTCGAACGTTCTACGTGCTGACCTCTAGAATTCTATAAGAATTTGGTAGCTCCTTTCAAAGTATAGTCGCTTTTATTTCAAAATTCAAAGCCTCCTGCGAGCCTAGTGCCATTTTTTGTTTATACCCTTATCGTCTGAGTGTTCATTCGTTCCTGCAGAGTAATCTACCCGTTTCTTAATATATTCTTCACTGCTTGTTTTACACGAGTCAGATACACTAAAGTTGAAGACATGCAATTACCATCATTACCGTTAAGGCAAATTATCCAATTTTGCGTTGTGCATAGACTTGCGTTGGTTTTTTTTGGCATGCGTTGCGTTGGTTATACAAATCATAACATCATTGCGCAGAACCTCTGAGGTTTTATGGATAGATTTGAACAAACCATAATTGAAGACGGAAATACCAGATCGTTGCACGCGATGTGGTGCCTGATCTCAGATATCAGCCTCACATTTTTTTAGAAAGTTCAATAGTGGATGTTCTTCATGGAATGGGTCTTTGCTTAATTCTTGATCCAGGTGTCAACTGAAAATGAAAAGGAAATAGGCAAATAATCAAATGTGCTTGTGGGATTGCGTCTTTTGAAGAACTCGGAAATGTTGAGACCGTCGTTTCTGAAGCATAACGATACCAACCTTCGCGCTAGCTTGCATAACGACAGCACATAAGATTTTTGTCACACAGAGTGTTACGAACTAGCTGTCTTCTTCTCTTGTGGCAAAGTTTCGCAGTAGTGCTTGAATTGCTAGATTTGAAATGCAGGGAAAAAGGATCTTATTTTTGCCACGTGTATCATTTTGGGACGTGAGAGAGCAGCAAAAAGAGCCCTGAAGTTGAATTGACAGAGAGCTATCTCCAGTGGCTGCCTTGAGGAAAGCTTGCGGAAACGGGTTTTTTCAGGACGGTTTCACTTGATTAGTAAAGTTTTAAAGCAATAAAGATACTGCGGAATACCCTAAGAGGCCAGCTATGCATAAACACTTGTCTATCATCTGTTCTCGACCCGAAATTGAACATCAGTCCTGTTGGTAAAGATTTAAATTCTACAAGTTCGTGTACGGTGTAATCGATTGCTTCTATAGCGTGCAGAGAACGATACATTGACGAGACGGCTAGGCGGCTCTACTTCAGTATCACCTGTATCACCTGTCGTCCCGTTGATCGTCGAGTGACTCGAGCGGGTACCAGCAACTCTTCCATTTTTCCCTATCGCGTGCAAGAGTAGCCCAGTGGGTCCTCCTTGCTCTAGGAATTCGCTGAGCATCATATCTTTCTTCCATCGCTTTCGTGAAGAAGTCGGACCAACGGGTCAGTGGTCTTCCTTCAAAGCGCTTGACGTCCCGAGGAATCCAGTCGGTAACGGCTCTCGTCCATCGGTTGTCGTTGAAGCGCATCACGTGTCCGGCCCACCTTATTTTCGATAGCCTGGCGTGTAGAACGGCGTCTCTGATTTTCGATCGTTGACGTAGGTCGGAAGTTCGGATCCTTTGTCTCATTTGCGAAATACGAGACACTCCTAGCATCGACCTTTCGACTGCGCGTTCGATAACGGCAAGTGATCTTTCATCCTGCTTACGTAGCGACCAGGTTTCTGCTGCATACGTTAGGGCAGGGATAATTGTCGAGTCGAAAAGGTGGGCACGGAGTCGGATGTTCTTTGTCCTCTTCACTACATCTTCGATGCTCTTAAACGTTCCCCAAGCCGCTCGTTTCCTCCTGCTCAACTCTGGGGCTAGGTCGTTCATCATGTTGATTTCACGACCTAGATAGATGTAACTGGAGCATTCGGAAATTGTCGTTCCGTTGAGCGTGAATGGGGCATTAGAAACCCATCTGTTCCTCATGAACATTGTTTTCGTTAGATTCAGTTGAAGACCGATCTTTCCACAGGCGTTATCGAAATCAGTCAACATTCGTTCCGCTTGGCTGATGTTTGGCGTTATAAGAACGATATCGTCAGCAAAGCGAAGATGGTTTAATTGTCGACCGTCAATTTTCACTCCCATTTCGTCCCATTCTAATGTTCGCATGACGTTTTGTAGGGTGGCAGTGAATAGTTTTGGCGATATTGTATCGCCTTGTCGAACCCCTCTTCTTACGTCAATTGTGATATTGTTGTAGAATGGAGATATTCTGGTCGTGAAATCTTTATAAAGCTCAAAGATGAAAGTGAGACAGAGTGGTTGTTTGTACTCTCGCGAAACTTCAATGAGTCTTGTGATCGTGTGGATGTGGTCCATGGTACTAAATCCTTTTCTGAACCCTGCTTGTTCGCATGGCTGTCCTTCGTCCAGTGTTCTGTCAATCCTGTTCAGGATGACTCGAGTAAAGAGTTTATAGACAACGGACAGCAAGCAGATTGGGCGATAATTGCCTATGTCGTGAAGGTCTCCCTTTTTGAACAACAATACGGTCTTGCTGGTTTTCCATTGAATAGGGACCTTGCATTCTGACAGGTAGCGAGTGAAGAGCCGAGCCAGGGTGTTGATGAGAACTGGCGGCAGGTTCTTCAGGTGTTCTGGTCTAATCCTGTCTGGACCGGGTGTTGTTCTGTTTTTCACCGACGATATAGCATGTCGGATTTCGGAAGGAAGGACCGGTGGAACGACATATTCGTCCTCTTTCAACTTATATGACGGTAAGAGAACATGGCTAGCGAAGAGATCCGAGTAGTACTGGTGGATGATTTTCTCCATAGCCCTTCTGGAAGCTGTAAGTGTCCCGTCAGGGTATCGGAGTGCAATCATCTTGGTCTTATAGTTGGCGAAGCCTCGCTGGGCTTTGCGAATGCTCTTCCCAACTTCTGCAGCTTCTGCCATAACTGCTGCTCTTCTCTCTTTAAGGTCTTCTTTTATCGCTTCTCTGCATCGTTTCGCAAGTTCGGACGTAAGGTTTCGGTTGGCTGCGGCTCGTGCGATTCCACGTTGACGTATCAGCTCGAGTGTCTGCGGAGACAAGCGTGTCTTCGTGACCTCAGGACTCTCGGCTTTTATAGAGCTAACGTTAAGACATTCAACGAGTCGATCGTATTCTTCGTCGATGTTGTCGACAACGGTATCTTCCCAAGAGCCGACTAATGATTTGAATACATCCCAGTTTATGGTAGTTCTGGGACTTCGTTGTTTGAATTTAGCGGCTTTCTCTCCTCTCCTCGAAAATCGGAACGTTGCGCGAAGGAGGCGATGGTCTGATCCCGTGTAGAACTTGGGAACAACAGCGACGTCGGTCATGCAAAACCTTCGATTTACTATTATGTGATCTACTTCAGTATGGAAGAATATTTAGTCATTAAAATTGAAATTGAACCAATTAATATGATAGGTGTGCATAAGAGGGGAAATTTTGAAGCAGAACGAAATCCAGCCACAGGGAGGCGAGTCCCTTGTTTAAATTCGTGGTCTGACACATCGTTGAGACTGCTAATTCAACGCAAGAGCGGCATATCAGCTTCCCATGCGATTTTCGCACGG